GAACAATAAAAATCAATAACTTAATTAAAATGTACGTTGTGGGTCTAATTTCATGTGTCTGACAGTATAGACCTGGTTACTTTAATTCATGTTGAGTATAAGATTGTATAAGAATAGAAAAAAATAATGTTGCAGCTGTTGCAGAAAAAACATAATGAAAGGTAGGGTTTTTCTGCAATACGGCTACGTTAATATCTTTTTAACAAATAAAATAATGTTTATATTTAAATACATGTAGATGTCTAAAACAATAACAAGAAATATTTTTTCATGAATATCATTGTGTCGTAATTCCATGCCCTACTTATGAGACTTGCAAATTTAAGAAAGTATGAAAGTAAATGGAAACAGAGACATTTGAAGCACTATCTCAAGAAATGTTTTCTTGAAATATTGGCATTCTTATTTAATTTCGATTTCAGTATCTGGCCCTCCAACTTATCTAAGTGTAAATGAAATTGGTAGCAGAGGGTTCAAAATTAGATTTGATACACCTGAAATAAGGTAAGGAACAGATGTATACATGCAGAAATATTCAGTCCTTTTTAACTATGTTTTTAATTTCTCGAGTGGAAGGAGGACTTTCTTGAATCTAAAATTCTTGCAAATTTTTTAAAATCCTGTCTTGAGAATTTGGAATACTAGTATTCTTAATATAACAATTTCCCATCGTTTGTGTTTTTATATTAGAGTTTTCAAGGCTATGGCACTATAATTGAGTGATTTTAAACATAGTTCATAGCAAAAGGATTCTGAGAGTGAAAATTGTCAACATGGATTTTGACATTGAGTGGAGGAATTCTAGGCAGTTTTTGCCAATGGTCTTTTACATACAGTATCAGTACATAATTTACTTTGAAAATATCACGTGTAAATATTTTTTTTTATTAAAGAGTTAAATAACAGTATTCCCTTGATCGAAACTGCTGTATACTATTTTATCTTACGTTTGAAATGTTCAGATGTAACTACTCCTTATATTCTTAATATTTGTTATGAAGTTATTATATTTAATATTTATGTTAAATAGTCTTCTGTGAATAAAATGATAATATATAGTTATTTTAACTTAATTTAGAACATTTAGCTACTTTTTACATGAATATACCGAGATACATGTAAGCATATATAGAAACCACTAAATCAGATCCATTGTTCAAAGTTAACCATATATTATGTCAAAAGAATCCCAGAACGTATGACCCCCTCGCACTTATAGGTTTCCTAGATAAAAAACTTTCACGTAAATAAGTCAAACCTGGTATACCAGACAAGCTTTAATTGGTGTATTGTCTGACCCTCATACTAGATTACCTATCCCTTCAAGACGATCTTATCCTATACCCTTATACCCTGGCTGGTGTTGCTATCAATATCAGTAGTGGTAACCTTGATAAAGTGTAATCAAAACTGAACCAAACTTAAAGAAAACTTGCATGGATGCTTGATCTGATCTACATATTTCAGATAAGTGAACAGTTAAATTTTGAGGAACAGGTCCATTTTAAATTATGAGCCTTGTAGCCAACTTGCATTGATGGTGCATCTAAGGACGTATAATACCAAACATGCTTAAGATGCTGGGTTCAATTTTAGTTTTATGGATAAATGGCTGGGTTGAAATATTTGATACAGAACCATTTTCGAGTTACTTACCTCAAACCTTTGGTGACCGAACCTGCATCTAGGACCAAACTCTCAGACCTGGGCCTGGGTTCTGAATCTTACAAAAATTAGCTAATGGTTCCTTTTTCTTAGAAATGCAATTTCCAGCAACACTATATAAGGACTTTTGAAAAAAAGTTCACATTAATAGTTGCTCCATCTCTAACCCAGTCTTTCTCTTTAAGGTTAAATTTCAAGGTATTTTAGCCGTTAATTGTGTCTTAATTTTTAAAATCAACAAGAATGCTCATTTAACAATTAAGGTAGCTTGTCAATTTCAATAATGATGAATCAAAAGTAGGAATCTTACCAGATTTTGGAGATGATTGAACACACCCAGTTCATCCAAAAACCTGATATATATCAGCCCATGGTACACCAAGTAACAGACCTAAAACCACACACCCACTACCTTGTTAAAGTGGCAGCAGTTAATGGAAATGGTGAAGGGCGCTTTATTAATGCAACAGCAAAGACTGAGGAAGAAAGTAAATAATTACATGAATTATTTGACTTTTCCATAAATAATATGCATCTTTAAGAATTAAAAAAATCAAGATCTCAGAAAATGACTTAAAAGATACCTTTATTTTTTGGTAGTTGAAATATTTGAAATATTGCTGACCTTAAAACTACCTTATTAATTTTTTAGCTTAAAGCTTTCATATTTACCTTACATTGATTTGAAAGTCTTCTTGTTATTATAATATTTCTAACCTCTAACCTCATCCTAATATTATTCAGCGCCACAAAAACCTGGTAGTTTAAAAGCAACTAATATACAGGCAAAGACTCTTACATTATCTTGGGATGTAGCAGGTCCCCCACCTGGCAACACAACCTACACTATAGAGATGCATGAAGGGACTGATGATACTGGAACACACTTTATCCTGAAACAACCAAAACTGTACACATACGGTGTGTATTAAAGTTCATTTTTATTTAATTATGTTCAGTTTTGCATGATTCATGATTTGTACGGTTTGTATTCATTTAAATGAAATATGCCAACATACGATATGTCCAATACACTAAGTTACCAGTTATTGCCAACTCAACCCACTAACTAAAATTCACGTGGTTTGTCAATGAACCTTTTAAAGTGATTGAACACGATGTTTTTGTGAAAAAAGTATACCCCATATGCTGGCCTTTAAGTAACCTTTAAACACTTTTAGGTAACAGCTGGCACATTATTCTAAAAATTTAGTGGCTTATGCACATTTTTAGGTGACACCAAATATTTAAGCCAATAGCAGTCATTATAGGGAGATGGTGTCTGTTGCCCCTGTCATTTGTAAAAGTGGAAGAGAGAAACTTTGATTCTCTTTAACTCCACCACTTGGTTGGAATAGTAATATTCAAAAGGTGTAAATGCATCATTACTTCAAAATATGAATAAATGAGGGTTAATGGTTAAAACATTATATTGTAGTAATAGTATTTCAAGAAAAAGTTATTGATAGAGTAAATGCTGTTGTATTCAATTTAATATCAACTTACAATGGAGTTAGAGGTTATTTAAGGGATTGTTTTTTTAGCTCACCTGAGCCTAAGGCTCAAATGAGCTTTTCAGATCACATTTTGTCCGTCGTCCGTCTGTCCGTCTGTCCGTCCGTCTGTAAACTTTTCACATTTTCGACTTCTTCTCAAGAACCACTGGGCCAATTTTGACCAAACTTGGTACAAAGTATCGTTGGGTAAAGGGAAATTTAAATTGTTAAAATGAAGTGCCAAGTTTCCTCAAAAGGGGAGATAATCAAGAAAAGACAAAAATAAGGTGGGGTCATTAAAAAATCTTCTTCTCAAGAACCACTGGGCCAGAAAAGCTGAAACTTATGTGGAAGCATCCTGGGGTAGTGTAAATTCTAAATTGTTCAAATCATGACCCCCGGGGTTTGGGCGGGGCCACGGTGGGGAATCAAAGTTTTACATAGAAATATATTGGAAAAATATTTGAAAAACTTCTTCTCAAGAACCACTGGGCCAGAAAAGATAAAACTTATGTGGAAGCATCCTGGGGTAGTGAAGATTCTAAATTGTTCAAATCATGACCCCCCCCGGGATTGGGTGGGGCTACAATAGGGAATCAAATTTTAACATAGAAATAAATTGGGAAAAACTTTGAAAATCTTCTCCTCAAGAACCACTGGGGCTGAAAAGCTGAAACTTATGTGAAAGCATCCTGGGGTAGTGCAGATTCCAAATTTTTCAAATCATGACCCCCGAGGGTAGGGCGGGGCCACAATGGGGAATCAAAGTTTTACATATAAATATATTGAAAAAATATTTTGAAAATCTTCTTCTCAAGAACCACTATCCCAGAAAAGCAGAAACTTGTGTGGAAGCATCCTGGGGTAGTGTAGATTTCAAATTGTCTTAATTATGATCAGTGGGGTAGGGTGGGGTCACAATATGTATCACAAGGGGGAAATCTGGTAAAGAACAGAATGGTCAAAGCTTCTCAGGTAAGCGATGTGGCCCATGGGCCTCTTGAAATATTATGTGAGGGTTATTGGTTTGTAAACCACATAGACTTGTCACGTACGCATATTTCATGAAGCGCGCTAGTTTGTTTGTAGAACTCAGGACAGATCACTTTAACTATACATAAACAGAAAACAATGCAATCAAAGCTTTTTATGCAGTGTATAGAGGGTCCTCAATTGGGAAAATACAAAATCTACTCCAACTTATCTTTTTTACATCTTTATTTAGGTTTTCGCCAGAAGTCATTGCCCATAGTTGAACTAGAGGAATACTGGCCATACAAGTTCAAAGTAATTGCTGCTACAGTAAAAGGGATTAATGAATCAGATTTATCAGATATTGTCAGAACAAAACAAGCAGGTTCGTCTTCATTTATATGATACTGCTTACATAATTATTCTTTATTTTAGAAATAAAATCGGAGTTTAGACTAAACATGCCTTTATAAGGAAAATATAAAATGTAATTTAAGGAATTGATAGACCTAGTATAGAATGCCACTTTAGTTCTGTTCTTATTGAGGCACCTGGATCTTACCAGTTGACACAAATAACATACCTAAGAAGAGCAATTCAAATCTATTTCTCAGTTTCAAGTCTGTTCAGATCTTGGTCCCACAGTTTAGGGTATGGCCACACTAACTTTATATAGGGAATCAAATTTAAATCTACAGATATTCCAAATCTGTGTTGATTTGAGTTAATTTAAATTACTGAACATGCTGTAAGAGCAGAGCTAAAATTTGGCGATAAGACTTTTGCTATGCAGTAAAATTTTTGGGAAACGAAAAGAAAGTTAAAATTTAATATAGAATAGGTATTTTATTTATTATGCTAACCTCCTCTGCAAAAAGATTGATTATGGTTTTAATGTTTATATATACTTTATTCTTTTTTGGCATGTAGCACCAGGGCCAGTGGAAAACTTGACTGTCAATATTAAAGATGAGAACTACAGAGTGGCATACGCATATTGGAACATTCCATCACTGAGGAATCGGAATGGTGTCTTAAAAAATTATCATTTCAAAATCACTCATAATGGGGTATTTAGTTTTTCCAATTCACATGTACTGAAAACTTTATCAAAGTTGCTGGACTTCATTTTTGACAAAGTATTGCGTACAGGCTATCTGTAACCCATTTGTCCGCAATACTCTGAAAATTTTGTGAAGAGGGCTTATAAAGGCTATGCCTGCTGCCCAATCCGTTTATGTTAAATTTTACATAATGAAATATGTTCAAATCAAATCAGAACACCTTTCTATATGAAACTATTTTGCAGAACAGACTGTACTGTATGCATGTATATATAAGGAATATGTATATTTCTACAATACTGTAGGACTTTAATTTTTGATCAAATAGAAAAATTACCAGTTGTAGAAGTAAGTCATTAAAAAAACTACATAAGATCACCCATAGTCACTGTCTATGTTAAAAAAATTAGGAAGAAAAAATATTGCAGGATCGGGAACAAGCCATTTGCTACCCTACTGAGTTAGTTGTCAATGACATATCAGGTAAACAATGAATTGATTTAACTGCAGTCTTCACCTAAGATTAAATATTTTGACATTTTTTTTCTTTTACAGACAGATATATTAACAGGAACAATTCCAGTCTCCCTCCCAATACAACGTGTTAAACAATATTTTACAGTTGTGCCAGAGGAAGCATATACAATAACAGTAAGTCTTTATCTCAACCTATTTCAATTTTACTGTCTACATGTTAAGCATTTTGTTTAAAAAATCTTTTAGACTTAAGATTTTATATTTATTTATTGCAAATGCACATTTAGGGGTTTAAAGATAATTTAGATTCCAGGTTGGCAGCATTATCAAGATAATTCAATCAATCTTCAAATGCTGATACATATTGATAGTGGTCAAAATTATTTCTATTTATTAAATAGAGTTTTTTTAATTAAATAAGAAAAAAAACCTATTTAAGATATTTTTATCAATTGAAACAACATATTCTGATGCATACATGTATTTGGTAAGATGTTTTCAACTTCAGCAGCACCTTTCTTTTTTCCCGACTTTTTTTATGATTATCTCACTTAAAATATTATCAACTCTTATAATCAGATCAAAGATATACAGTTTTATCAAGTAATAATTTAAAGTGTATAGCTTATCGATTATATTGATTTCCTTGTTTTAAAGGTATATGCCACAAATAATGAGAGTATATCAGGTCAGGATGCCCAGCATACCCATACAGTACCTGCTGGTCGTGAGTATTCTTGTGTATATCAATCTACTTTTTATTCACTTTCACCTCAGATTTGTTCGTAATGCAGCAGAATAAAAACTTTCTTACTTTGTCTCCACTTTAGGTCCTCCAATAGACAACAACATAGAATTGATAAGTACTATGCCAGGTCTACACAAGTCTTCACAGCAAACCATCACAGTAGAACTTAACACAGATTTCTTTAGAAATGATTTAAACGGAATACTAGTTCTATTTGGAATAACTGTGTGTGAAAAATCTAAATGTAAAAGTTAGTAGAACTCAACACAATCTTAATTAATATAGATATTAATTATATATATGATATTTAAATTTTATTTGCAATCTCTGCAATTTTAGATCACGGATCATTAAGTGTAAAAGAAAATTGGGAAAGGCTACCAAACTGGCATGATGCCAGTAAAACTGGATTTCCATTATAAAGAGTCACAAATCAAACGTACATGGACGAAATCAGGAATGGAGGTACTTCTCTAAATCATACATATTTTGTTTTCTTGACTTTTTGTGCTAACACAGGGATTGTGAAACAAGTAACTGTTCTGTTTCCATCTGTCACTACCTACTAGTTACTCTGAAACATCTTAACATTTTTGCCTTACTCCTTAACATGGTGTTACCGATTTCCATGGCGTTACTAATTAATGTCGTCATATCTAATGAGGGAACACAGGTGAAACCAGACTGATATGTTATCCAAAAATTTCTATAGAAATTTTAACATAATGTCCTCTTGTACAATTTTTTTTAGCAATCTATGTGTACATGCGTCATTGTATGTCCACGTATAGTCTGTGCTGCCATGCTTTTATTGCCAAATATGACGAAACAGAAGTAAAACAATCCACAATTTAAAGAATAATTTCATTTACTTACTTAATCTCAGGTTCTAGACTAACTTTCTAAAAACAGTGAACAATAGGATCAAAGTTATCACTATAGGTAACTTTATTTAATTATAATAAAGTTTTGCCAGGTCCGAATTCTTTACCTTAATGCTTGATTGTTTTTATGGATACCATCCCTGGTCGAAACCAGTCAACAAAATATTTTTATTGCTGTATTTTCACGAATGTGTTGGTGCCCTTTTTGATATCTTTAAAACCATATATCAAGAACAAGTACTTAGATGAAGTATGTCCAGAATCATGGGACAATATCAATCAAAGAATACACAGCGTATCCTTGCATCCAGACCATTCATTTTTCAGTTTTAAAATTGGGTTGGTTACGCCAAAATTCTGAAATCAACTGAAGTCTAAAGAACAACTTGGACAGAAATAATTTAAATTTTTGTGAATGCTTTGTAGGATATAAATTATAGAAAATATTTTGTTCATCTCTTGAATTTCAGATTTTTCGAAATAGACTGTACGAAGAATGAAGTATTAGTATCTTACGTTTTTTACCTCAGACACTGAAATGTGTTCTCGGAAACAAACAATAACTTATTTGAACAGTCAATCTTTTTCGATTACATTTTTGGAGAAAGCACTTAATGATTGTTTAATCAAATTTTCAAATCCTTATGCAAATTTAACTTATTTTATAAATGTATTTTTTTGAAAGTTTCTTTTGTTTTATTCAGATCTTAAGTTAAAGACAAAATATATATACTTTCACAAATAAAGCATAAAAATTAAGGGATCATCGTTTTTCATCAAGACTTCATATTTTTGTAGGATCCAGAAGAAAAAGATCAACATCATCTGAATTTACCATTGGTGAAGATCCAGCATGTTCCTCAATGAGTTCCAATGTATACTGTAATGGACCTCTTAATTCTGGACAATCATACAGGTATGGACTCTTCTGTTTAAAGATCCAGCATTCAACCTTCACGACTCCAAAAACAATGTGACATCACAATAGGCTCGTCGTTGAAGTCAAATATACAAACAGGTAAAAATGGCTTGATTTGCGGACACCTCGGACGCGGAGATTTATTACCGTTTTTTTTTTTTTTACTAACCATTGCATAAGGGATACTTATATCCTCGACGAATGTGGATACGAGGCACGACACATCATAGGATTAACAGGACACAAATCCGAGTCTTGCATTAAACACTATGCATTCCGTCTGAATGAAACAGAAAAAGAGTGAGATGTCAAAGCCGATGTCATCGAAGTTTATCATAACCAGGAAAACAGTAGCAATGGAAAACAGTACAGAAAATTTTGAACTGGACTTTTTGAACGACATCGATGACCAGTACCTGATGAATGTGATGTAGCAGCCCATCATGAACACTAAACCCCGTCCTCAAAACTTCATTACTAAATGCAGTGTTACGATAAACTACAATTACAGTTAGGATTGAATAGACAGACGTTCATTGCTACCTTAAAAATTTACAATTTTTCATAAAAGTAAACGGACAATTTTATTTACGTTTCATTTTGTCATGTTTCTTCACAATAAATAAAATTGAATTCTTTACTGTATTTCATATATAACAAAACATTAACTAGGGCTAATTGTAACGGGAACCGTTACAGATGTTCCCCAAACGCTCTCCAACTCCCTTTTGTGCCATATTCCGTGTAAGCTTCATTAAATAAGACAAACGCGATACATTTAAGATTTTAACAAAGTTTTCCCAGAGGTAATCAATTTCAGCATTGCACGCATGCGCATTTGAATGCATGTGCGTAATGACCATATCATCTTGTCTACACTAATCATATATTTTAATATACTAAATATTACAGATTTAATCCAAAAATATGTTTAATCTAGTGTATTTGTAATTTTACTCATTTCACGTGCACGCACGTGCATGCATGTGCATTATGACCATACCCTTTTGTAGGAGTCTATAATGTCTATCTAAAGTTCTGAATCCCATGCTGTTTGGTTGAAAACCAAGGGAGTTATAGCCATTTAAAGTTTAAGCAAATCAGATTGCAGCGCACGTGCATGCGCGTGATTTGATGAAAATTATTATATATCATATTGTAGGATATCCTAAAGCATGTCTATATTTTAAATTTCAAAGCATTTCGTCAGAAAACAAAAAAGATATTGAGAATTTTGTTTCAGCCAATCAGAGCGAAGCGCACTTTCATGCACGTGCAAGCATGCTCATGATGACCATACCTTCTTGTAGGAGTCCATTACGTCTGTCTATGTTCTAAATCCCATGCTGTTTGGTTGAAAAACAAGGGAGTTATAGCCATTTAAAGTTTTAGCCAATCAGATTGCAGCGCACGTGCATGCGCGTAATTTCATGACAATTTCTATATATCATATTGTAGAACATCCTAGAGTATGCCTATGTTTTAAATTTCATAGTATTTCGTCAAAAAACAGAAAAGATATTGAGATTTTTGTTTCAGCCAATCAGAGCGAAGCGCACGTGCATGCGCGTGAGTTCGTGCTAATTTGACAGTGTCACATTATCTACACTATTAATATATCTTTAAATAATAAGTTTCAAATCATTTCATTAAAAAATGTAAAAGTTATAGCTATATTAAGTAAACAAGTCATTTCACGTGTTGCACGCGCACGCACGTGCATGCGTATGCGCGCAAAATGACCTTCGTTCCGCACACCTACACTACACACCCATTAACCCTGAAAAGGTTTTAGGTCAGTTGGGTGAACAGTTTCCGAGAACACTCGCGGACAAAAAAGTACCGGAGAACAAATAAGAAAAAAAATGACAATAATAATAATAATACGAAACCGAGTAAAAACAATATGTTCCCAAACTCCGTTTGGGGAACATAATTAACTGTGTTTTCGGGCATCATTGATTATGTTCGCCCCCCCCCCCCCGGAACGAAAATATTGCCCTCCACTTCGTGTCGGGCAATATGTCGTTCCTCGTGGGCTAACATAATCAATGTTACCTCAACCCCAGTCAATATTTGTATAGTATTATCCATGATATCAGCGCTGGGATATACCCTTTGCATTTCTGACATTTGGCCTTTTTATAGTCATGGTATTGGCGTGGAATGGTGACGTATTTTTGTACTTGTGTTCTTGCTTTGTCTTTGTTTATATTTTATCTACGTTAGTGTATTTGTATCTGTGTATCGGTTGTAGGTTTCTTTTAATTAGTATGTTTCTTTCTTTACGTGGAATTAGAGGAAAGTTATTTGTATTGTTGCAAAATATGTAGTGCATAGCTGTGTCTGTTGAGTACTCTGAACAGTGACTAAATGAGCAGCTGATTTAGGGTGTCTCAGACATTTTTATAACAAACATTTCTATAATTTAAAAGTAAGTGAACTCCTAAAAGATGTAAATATGTTATATTAACCAATTTTGTATAATTCCAGGGTGATTTTATTTGCCTGTACAAATGGAGGATGTACACACTCCGTCCAATATGGGCCATATTCAACAATTAATATACGAGGTATGTATTCAGCCTTTGTTTAGCTAGCTAACTTACATGTGTAAATAAGGGAAGCTTAGAATTGTGAGGAAAGACTATTTATTGTAAAATATTAAGCGTAGGACTGTATACTGAGACTGAGATTCCGCGGAATTATGACCCCGTGGAAAAAAGTACGTCTACAATATATATATATATATATATATATATATATATATATATATATATATATATATATATATATATATATTGATATTGAATAACTTTAAGCCAAACGGTTCATCAGTATATATAAAACAAGAGGCCCAGGGGCCACAGCGCTCACCTGAGCACATCGGGCTTGAATTTACTCCCCCCCCCCTGCCAGGCGTTCATCATTTGAAGTGACTAGAATCTACACTACCGGAGGGTGATTGCATATAAATACCCCGGGTATCACTAATCATAGCTTTGAAGTACTTGAAAAGAAGATTTTAAAAGGTTTCCCTAAATATCCCTATGTAAAACTTGGGTCGGCCATTTTGGCCCCACCCTTGCCCCTGGGGTCATGATTTGAACAAACTTGAATCTACACTACCTGAGGATCTTCTCACATGAGTTTCACTTTCCTAGCCCAGTGGTTCTGAGAAGAAGATTTTTAAAGATTTTTCTTAATATATTCTTATGTAAACAGGGTTGGCCATTTTTGGCCCATCCTTGCCCGGGGGTCATGATTTGAACAAACTTGAATCTACACTACCTGAGGATGATTCCACATGAGTTTCATCTTTCCTGGCCCAGTGGTTCTGGAGAAGAAGATTTTTAAAGATTTTTCCTAACATCCCTATGTAAAACTTGGGTTGGCCATTTGGCCCCACCTTGCCCCGGGGGTCATGATTTGTACAAACTTGAATCTACACTACCTGAGGATGCTTCCACATGAGTTTCATCTTTCCTGGCCCAGCGGTTCTGGAGAAGAAGATTTTTTAAAAATGCCATTAATTTTTAACAAATTCATGATTATCTCCCCTTGGAAAAGGGCGTGGCCCTTCATTTGAACAAATTTGAATCCCCTTCACCCAAGGATACTTTGTGTCAAGTTTGGTTGAAATTGGCGCTGTGGTTCTTGAGAAGAAGATGGAAATGTGAAAAGTTTACGACGACAACGACAACGACGACAACAGACAACGGACAAGTTTTGATCAGAAAAGCTCACTTGAGCCTTCGGCTCAGGTGAGCTGAAAACAAATATAAAGGACGAGTGGCGAGAGTCTGCGGGGGGTGGAGCCCTTGAGTCCATCTGTCAGACTTCCATACACCGACAAATACACAATTTATTTCAAATTCTCTATTATAACATAAAAAAAAGTTTGATTGTAATGTTGGAGATATTTGCCTTTGTCTGTAGATGAGGATGAATTCCCCGTTGGAGCTGTTGTAGGAGGGGTGGTAGCCGCTGTCACTGTAGTATTGGTCATCATTATAGCCATGGTGGTCGTTAAACGACGCAGGTAAACATAAAATATAATTACATTATTAATTAACATTCTTTTCTATTTCTTTTGTCCAGAAGATTCAGAAGTAATTCATAACTAGATGCTGTCATGAGACAGTAATACCCGCACTATGGTGTTTGCCTCTAAATATACACTCATTCATATTGGACTTTCCAAGGAAGAAGTCAAAATAATTCTATAATTATCACCGTACATGTATTCGTCAAATTGAACATAAAATTTTCAGATGACCATATCAACTCTGAGCCTCACATATGTATTTTAAAATACTTAATTCATAATCAGTCTGAAATAACAGAATTTAATTAATGATTGAAGTAAATTACTTAATTAGATTCAAATAAATAATTTTCCCATAATTTGGAACTTTTTAAATTTACTTTCTCAACGACATAAAATATTATTTTAGTACAAAGCGTTTTTGATGAATTTATCAAAATGTGCAAACTGATTTTAGTATTTGGTCGGGAAAAAAACCCATTGAAAATACAACCCGATTAATTTGTCAATGCCAACCCCCCCCCCCCCCCCCCCCCCACACACACACACTCTCTCTCTCACTCTCACTTTTTTTAAAAAACATAGTTTAGTTTATTATGATAGTTTGAAATTTGTTCTTGTACTAAACAGTTTTATTTTTTACATTCACATTGGGTTTGCGTCACCCATTATCATATTTATAGATATCACCTCTCGGCACACCTCGGCCAATTCATACTGGCAACGGAATCAGCAAAGGTTTGTCGAATGAGATTATTTAGCACATGTATGCTGACGATGCAGTGAGGTCAGTTAAAATCATTTGTGTTTTAATTGGATTATATGGATTATATTTCATGAATTCGTTGTCACGACCTATGACATTCGGTAAGTACAAGATTTAGTATAGATTGCATAAAAATAAATAAATGCAAATGGTTAGGTTGAAGTTCAAAAAGGGTCAACATGGTCAAAGATCATCGCATGCCACAGTCGACAAATTTCACATTGTCAAGTTCTCTCCCGTTGCGGACATTCAGTATATCACAGATGCAGATCCAGAATTTTTTTTTCAGAAAGGGGGGGGGTGTCACACCTCAGTCAAAAAAATCAGCCCAAGATTTCCTGAGATGGAAATAAAAAATAATAATAAAAACAATGATGGTGGAGTCCCTGTTTTTAAGGGGGGGGATGTCCAAAGTCATTTTTATTCTCTACAGTACATA